TTGTCGCCGCGGGCTGTTGTCGTCAGCGCCAGCAGCAGGAGGCACGCAAAACCTGCAGAGATAAACAGAAAGTTGCTCATGTTTTTTGTTAGCAATCAAAGGTATCACAGGAGTTTCCCTTTCTCTTGGAGATCAGTGAACTGTCACAAGAAAGCTCTCAATTTGTTTCACTCACTTTCACTTTTCTTTTTCTTTCCGTAGATTTTCAAACACATGCAAATTACATATCACTTTCACATCACCACGCTACGAAAATTATACTCACGTTTCATTCTTTAAAGATCTCCCAGAATCCAGCGAAATAAATAGATTATTTGACGAATAAGTATCTACAGAAAGGGTCGCCGGTAGTGCGAGAGCGGTCACCTTCACCGCGCTCTCTGCTGGGATTGACTCGCTGCACCGGCCCGCCGCTCTTATATATGGTGGCATCCATCGCCCGCTCGGTTCCCGCTACATTCCCGCTATTCTGCCGCTTCTTCGCGCGACCTTCACCCTCTTCAAGGCAGGGAGGCAGATTCCCGGGAAATGAGTGATGTCATCATTTTCGGACATTGATCCCTCGTTGTTGGTGAATGCATATCCTTCTTCACTCATGTCTTTTTTTCTCTAATTGTAATTTAAATAAGCTATTTAACTCCTACAAATACATTTTTGTTAAGAGAGAGAGAGAGAGAGAGAGAGAGAGAGAGAGAGAGAGAGGGGGGGAGAGAGAGAGGGAGGGAGAGAGAGAGAGAGAAAAGGAGAGGGGGGTAGAAAGAGAGAGAGGGAGAAAGAGAGAGAGAGAGATATTGAAAGAAAGACAGGAAAAAGGAAGAAAGAGAGAGAAGAGCAAATGAGAGGAGTAAGGAGAGAGGAAAAATGAACAAAGAAATTCTACAGACAGACATGGAAAATGAAAATTATAGATTAAATACCAAATTCATGGATCCAGGACACGGAACAAAACTCGATTATCTTTATGATGTCAACAATGAGTAAGTGCATGCACCCCCCCCCCTCCTTCCTAACTTACCACCCACCCTTCAACTCACTCGACCCCTCCCCCCCTTCCCCCTCCCTCTGAGACCCATGACTGGTTCAGTAAGAAAGTAAATGAAGTGAAAGGGGCGAGAGAGGTGGGAGAAGGGTGGGAGGGGGTAGTGGAGGGGGGGGGCAGGGCATGCTACAGGTACAAATGCCGGTGCAACGCCAACGTCAAGATGGGGAGGGGGGGAGAGGGAAAGGGGAGGGAGGGAGGGGAGCTAAGGAGAAGGAAGTTTACCGGATGCTTGTCGCAGGAAAAAAAAAATGGCTTGTTGGTGACGATAAGGATCAATCCTACATGCTTTTGGTGGATGAAATGGATCAATTTGAAGTATCAGGAGATCCATCCTCTTTTTTTCAGCTTGAGTTCCAGGGAGTTGTCACCAGCCACGGGTTAATATGGCGTGACAGGAAACCGTGGCAGGTTTCGATCCGTGACCAATCCATGTCGCCGATGTTGTCATAGGGATATTTATAAAATCATGGTCGCCTGAACACGGGGCGAAAGTATCAGCAGCGATAATGGGAAAAACGCAAATAAGGGAGAAAGAGAAGAATTGAGAGAGAGAGAGAGAGAGAGAGAGAGAGAGAGAGAGAGAGAGAGCAAGAGAAAGAAAGAGAGAGAGAGAGAAAGGAGCGAAAAGTCGCACATAGAGAAAAGAGAGGAGCAAGAAGTAGCAGAGAGAGAAAGAAAGAAAGAGAACGAGACTGAGAGAGAGAGGTAGATAGACAAACGGACAGACAGATCGAGGCAGAGACAAAGAGAGACAGAGAAGATGGGAGAGATATACAATCGCAATCAGTAAGATATATAAGATACAGAGGGAGACAGAGGCAAAGAAAAAAAAATAATGTGAAGTTCAAGTTACAAATGTTTCAAATATTGTCTGGAATCCAAGGGTTAAAGAGAAAGTTCACATTAAATTGATAAAAAATAAAATAAAAACTACTAGTAGAGTGCGTTTTTAAAGGAGAAAAAAAGACAAATAAAATATATCACAACACAAGGTATAGTGAACAAACGAGGGAGGAAAACAATACAAAAAATAAATAAAAAAAGAAGCTAAATGGATATGATCTTACGGTGTCCTCAGACCCGGCATACCAGACGAACGAAAAGAGACCAAAGGAACAAAGGAAATATAGAAAGCGAAAAAATATATATATATATAGAAAGAAAGTGTAAAGCGTAACGCGATTTTGTAGGTCAACGGAAAAGTTAATGGGGGTTTTACTAACCTTTTTCTCTTGATAAGCCTATTGCCGAGGGAAATAAATTGTCAGGAAGGAGCGCGGGAGGACAGGCGAGGGAGATGGGGGAGATGGGGGGGGGCAGAGAGATGAGGGAGGGAGAGAGAACTGGAAGAGAAAGAGGGAAGCGAAGGAGGGAAAGGGAAATGGAGGAGAAAGACAGAGGTGGAGGAGGGAAAAGGAACTGGAGGAGAAAGAGAACGGTGAAGGAGGTAAAGGGAAATGAAGGAGAAAGAGGGGAGCGAAGGAGAGAAAGAGAAATGGAAGAGAAAGAGAAAGGCGAAGGAGGGAGAGGGAGATAGAGGAGAAAGAGATAGGGATAAGGGGGCGAGGGGGAACTGTGAGAGAAAGATTGGGAGCTGAGAGAGGGAAAAGAAACGTGGAGAGAAAGAAAGGGAGAAGGGGGAGGAGGGAATTGGAAGCGAAAGAGAGAAGGATAAGAGAGATAAAGGGAACTGGAGGAAAGAAAGAGAGCTGAGGGGGGGGAGGGCATTGGATGGGGGCGGAAAGGGATGGCGGAAAAGGATAGAGAGGAGTGGGGGGACGGTGGGAAGAAGAAAAAAAGGGGAAAAAATAAAGGAGACTGAGAGAAGCGAGAGAGAAAAAAATGAAGATAGGACGGCGTAGAGGGAGAGAAGGAAAATGGCAGGAAAGGAGGGGGAGGCGAGGGAGAGAGAGGAGAGGGAAAGGAAAGGCGGGGGAGGGGGGGTAAGAAGGGGGGACAGGTGACTAGCGGGAGGAACTTACCTGCTCCTTGTTAGCATTAAGGGTGATGGATGGCCGCTGTTGTCCTGGCCTACTTTTCTTTGTTTCCCTTTGTTATCCTTTGTCTTTAACTCTCCATTTCTAGTTTTCGATTTGCTAGAAAAAAAATCTTGAGGCTATTAAAAGAATAAACCTGATTCGCTTTATCTTTAAGCTCTGGTCAGAGACGAGATAAGGAGGGTGAGTGAAGCCAGGAATGCACTTTCTTAAGAACCAAAATGAATCTGCGAAAAGAACTTACACCGAACAAGTTGAACAAACGTGACTTGGTACACCGGCGGCCCTCCGAATTTGTGGTTGTTTTCTTTGTTTTCTTCTCGTTTGGCTTCCGCTTCTTATTTCTTTTCGTTTCGGGGAAGGAGGTAAAAAAACGATAAGATAAGGGGCAGTTAACAGGTTGCTTGTATCGCCTCACTTCCTTCGTTTATTTCCTATTACTTTCTCGTCAGTCTTTCTAATTATACTTATTTCTGTTTCGCCTCTCTCTCTCTTTCTCGCTATATATATATATATATATATATATATATATATATATATATATATATATATATATATATATATATATATATATATATATGTATATATATATATATATATATATATATATATATATATATATATATATATATATATTTATATATATATATATATATATATATATATATATATATATATATATATATATGTGTGTGTGTGTGTGTGTATGTGTGTGTGTGTGTGTGTGTGTGTGTGTGTGTGTGTGTGTGTGTGTGTGTGTGTGTGTGTGTGTGTGTGTGTGTGTGTGTGTGTGTGTGTGCATGTGTCAATGTATTACCTTTCATTTCCTCCTCCACTTCCTTTTCCAAAGCTCCCCCATTCTTTCACATCCTCCCCCCCCCCTCCCTCTCTCACACCTTCCCCTTTCCCGTCCCCCCCCGCGCGACGCCCCTTCACGGCCCCTCCCTTCATGTGCCAAGCCATCGCCTCTCTCCAGGATGTACCAGACCCGCGCGGAGGCTCACGGCTCCTCTGAGTCATATACGCGTACGGCTCTACGGTCTCTACCATTTCTTGTCCATTCCTCGTTTCATGTGTTCGGTTTCAGTTTGAAGTCTCTATCTCCTTGTTTCTTTCTTTCTTTTTTATATATGTTTCTTTCTTTGTCTCTTTTTCTTCTTTTTGATTCTATGATTCTTTTACGTTCTTTCTCTCTTTTATGCGACTCTGCTTTCTCTTCATTCACATGTCTTCTGCCTTTCTCCAGTCGGTCGTTAATCCACCTCGATCTACCTTCTTTCTTTCATTTTTTCTTATTCTTCATTTTTTTCTTCCTCTTCTCTCTCCCTTTCCACTTTATTATCAAGAAATGTCTCCTCTTAAGTATATCTAATTAGTATATCAAATTTTCCTTCACATACGAAAAGGTGAATAGCCCTTTCACAGGGTTACAGCGATTTCCCACTTTCACCTCTGTCTGGCACCGGAAATGCTTCACAAAGAGGTTGACATTTGCATCACGGATAACGATAGAGACGCCCGCGGTGATGGAGATATGATAATGACATGGTAATGATCAAGGGTAATGCTAATGGTTATAATAGTGTCGAGTATTTATTCATCGCTCTATCTTCACTTATAACTACATATGGATGCAAATTACTTTTATCTTAAAGTGGGTATATGCGGGTGTATACACGCGCTATGTATACACGACATTAACGCACATAAACGCATATGGTTCTATGTGTTCGCCCATTTGTCACTCATTCTACTTATGTATATGGAGTGTTATGCAGCGTGATTTGGATATCAGTGTACTACAATATACTGACTCTATGCTTTATGGCACCGTTGCTATTGCTGGATAGTTCCAGATATGGCAGGATTGCGTTGCAGCTCTCGGTAGCAGCGACGGGTTTATTGACCTTCTCTGTTTGAAAATATTAATGATGATAGTTCTTATAGTATCATGATGCTGATAAAGAAACTAGCGCGTATACATAGAGAAATAGAATGTAAAAACAGTGAGTTAATCTTGGTCTATAGATTTTCGTTTATCTGCATCACGCTCTGTTGTAATTAAAACATTTTTTTTTTTGTAATGTCTCGGTACTAGATTATCTAACTGATAGATGATTAAACTATACATCATAAGAAATTAATTCTATTCGTTTACCTTATGAAATAATATCCAAAATACCTTATGGAATAAAATGCAAAATATCTTACATTTTTTTCTTTCTTAGGACAAATTATTTTACATCAAGTGTAAATCAAGTTTTGCTTATCGATTAAGTTCAGCTATTTATTCCTCATCTTATTTCCACGTATGTACTTTCATAAATATATTTTCAATATAAATTTCAATCTTTCCTCTTATAAAAAAAAACCTTAATCC